ATTCTTTTGAGGTGTCGACAAGATTGAGGGACATTACCTTGCCGAAAGATTATATATTGGTGTCTTTTGATGTCAAATCACTATTTAGTAATATACCACAACATTTAATACTCGAAGTTGTTGATTTGCATTGGCACACTATTGCAGAATACACAGATATAAACAAAGAGCTATTTTTCACAATCTTAGAATATTGTTTTAAGTCAAGTTACTTTGTCTTTGAGGATCAATATTACCAACAAATGTTTGGTACCCCTATGGGAGCCCCAATAAGCCCAATCTTGGCCAACCTGGTAATGGATCATGTTATCAAAAAAACAATAGAATCATTGGATTTTGAAATTCCATTCTTTTTACTATATGTGGATGATTCACTGACAGCGGTGCCTAAAAATAAGATTGATGACACTCTTAACATGCTGAATAGTATCAACCCCAACCTTGAATTCACAGTAGAGGTTGAAGAAAATAATAAACTGGCATTTTTGGATTTGCTGATATTTAACTCGCAGGGATCTTTGAAACTTGACCTCTACAAGAAACCAACGAGTTCTGGTCGCATTCTCCATTTCTCGACCAATCATCCATTACACCAGAAGATCAACCTCATGACAGAGTCCAAAAACAAAATCTACAGGCTTTCTAATCCTGAGTTCTGGGAAAAGAACTAACATAATTTACGACTTACTTTTCGGAATAATGGATATCCTACACATCTCATAAATCGCATCTTAAACCAGGCCCCTCCAACAACATTTCCACAGCCATCTAATGCCATTGAATCCAACAACAACAAAAAATATTTCAAAATTCCATACATAAAAAACCTATCTGAACGATTAAGCAAAAAATTACAAACCACAAACAACAAGATGGCATTTTACAATACCAAAAAGGTTGGCAATCTATTTTCTTCGGTAAAAAGTAGAACGCAGACTATGGAAAATAGTAATATTATTTACCAGATACCATGTGGAACATGTAATTCGAAATATATAGGGCAGACAAAACAATACCTCAAATCCCGATTTGCCGAGCATCGACGTGACTGCAATATCACAAATTATGACCATCCCAAGACGGGCCTAGCTAAACACCATTTCGAAGAGGGTCACATATTTGATTTTAATAGCACTAAGATTTTAGATAGAGAAAGAAATTTTAAAAAAAGACTCTTCCTAGAAATGACGTATATTCACAAAAACAGGCCTAATGTGAATCTCAACCGAGACACTAACGACCTCAGTGTGTTTTATCATAACATAATTACTAACTTCACCTAAAATAGAAACAATATTCCCCACGAAAAATTAAAAATAGAAACAATATTCCCCACGTAAAATTAAAAATAAAAATAATAGTTCATTTCTTCTATCTGCAGCAGCGATTTTATAATCCTTTTGTTTGCTTTTGATTTTCTCGTAACCACCAAATTAATTAATTTGCTCAAATAAAGGTACTTTTTCAGTAGCCAATGGTCAAGGACATTGACACATTCCATATCAGGGAATCTCGTTTAATATAATATCAGTATCAATTTGTAGCTTGTTACCATTGCACGGCTGGTTTGAATTTTGATATGTCCGTTGGAATTATGTATTTTTTATGTTTTTTAATTTCAAAAAACAAGCACCACAATTACTAATCTAGGTGAGTTAATGTCTGTCAGTATTGATTTTTGATTCTAAACCATCCCAATTTGGGTCTAATAAAGAAATACTATAACAAAACAATAATTTATTTTTTATCTGTGTATCTGTTATTTTGATTCTTTTATAACAAAATTAATTGATAATAATTTACATGTTTTTAGTACTGTTTTTTCTGTTTATGTTGCACATTTGCGAAATGATAAATTCTATGTAAATGTAATGAATTTGTTACAAATGTAGTTATGTTAACTGGTTTGTTATACATTTTAGCCCTGAGGATGACACGCATCCGTGTCGAAACGTTGGCAATTGATTAATACTTACGTGAATAAAAAAAGTCCAAAAAAGCTGCAATTTCGTTTCTTTACAAGTGTGTGGACGTGAACTACCTTTCAAATTGACTGTTACTATATGTTACTACTTATCTCTGGTTACTACACAACATTGTAAACGAAATAAAATTATTGTGTTGGATTTTGAGTAGTTTCATTTGCACATAAAGGGACTACACGTTATCTTAATCTTTTGAATTCCACGACCCTAGGTTATCTTGTCTTAAAGTAACAAATTTCAATTTAATTTGTAACAGAGCACCGTGGTTCGTAAGAAATGACGATATACATAATGATCTCGGCATGGACAAAATAACTCAATACTTGGTCATGAGGCACACAAAATGTTTAGAGATAATTGAATCCCACACTAACTCAACCTTAACTACCACTTTCGGCATTCCATATGCCCCAAACATAACATGATATAAAAATCTGCATACCCCCTCAAACTTTTAATAGCAAAAATGCCTGAAACTCCCCAATCCTATACCCACTCCCATCCCAAATTTACTGGACCCCTCCCAAAATTCAGTAACAAACCACCCAAAGCAAACATAACCAAAGCTCCACGCATCAAATTAGGCTCACCTATCAATAATCGAGTAAAGGCGTAAGATCGCCAGCTCAGAAAGAAATATCAAAAGCAGCGTTGGAATATTAAAATACAAAATCGGCAATGCCATATTTGTTAATACTTTGTTAAAGAAAATGAAAAAAAATTCCGAAGTGGAACATTGATGACGCGTTTCGTAGTTATCACCTGGGTAAAACCTCGTAGGACACCCTGTATATCTACATATATAATTTGCTTATGGGGTTTATCTGTCTTTCCACGCCATTCTAATGTTATTACGTGAGCTAAAATCTCAAATTTGGAATAGTTGTTCTTTGGAACACTGGCCAGAACCTAACGGAGCCAGATTTTTGAATTTCGATTTAGAAAAAAAATTATGGCAGAAAATGAGTTTTAGCGCGAAGTTTTCGCGCGTTTTATCTCTGATCCCACGGACGTATTCGTGGCGGTTAATCAAAAAAATGGGCAGAATCTTGCAAATTGTGATAAAAGCATTTAATTTCGTACAGATGATGATTTTTTTACAATTATAAGCGATTTGACCCGCATGACCCCCTTGTCGGACCCATAGGAGCAAGATGGCGACCATATGCAAAATGGCGGCTATCAAGAGGTTAAAATTGGTAATTGTGAATCGATTTCAGCAAAATTGGGGTCGTTTTCGAATAATTTTTGATCAGAAAATGTAAGAAAATATATAATTAAGTGATTGAAATTTGAATAATACAGGGTGTCCCAGCCGAGAGTGACCCATGTCAAATGCTCATAACTTTTGAACCAAGTATGTTAGCCACCTGCGGTTTGCGCCATTCGACTACTCTTGGCCTAAAGTTTTTTTTTTGGTTAGTTGCTCATTTTTTGATACTTATACCGGGCCAGTAAAGGAGCAAGATGGCGCCCATTCGCAAAATGGCGGACCAAGAAATTATAATTTTTAATTGTGGATCGATTTTATCAAAATTAAGGTCGTTTTCGAATAATTTTGGGTCAAAAAATACAACAGAACATGTTTTTTGTATTAAAATATAATCTTAACTCAGAAAAGATTAATCTTTTAATTTTTTTGAGGAATTAACTATAGTTATATTCAAACTATGTAAATAAACAAAATGTAGGTATCAAAAACTGTTTTCCTATGAGCCTGCGGAAAAAGCTCTTTTTTCGCACGCATTGGCCTGTGGAAAGAATAATTTTTCCGCACTAGTGTGGAATTTTTTTTTCGCACGTCGTCGCGTCGTGTTGACCTACGATATGCATCAACGATAAATTTACAATTTGCTGAAAATTGTACATTGTACAAAATAAATAAAAAATGTTGTTAAGGGGGCAACATCGCTCCCATGCACACGATACAAATTAGATTTTTAGTTATAAAAAAAATTATAGATGGCGCCAAGATTTGAAATAATAGCGATTTCAATTTGCAGAATCAGTGCAACTTTTTTCACTCAGTTCGCACTGATTGACTAATGGGAATTGCTCGGGAAATTGCCATTATTATTTCGCCTGGCCCAACCAAACTTGATATACTTATTTTTCCTATTTTACTTTATTAGGAATAGAACAGGTTTTTATGTATGAAGAAATTGCCTTGTATTGATTTCGGAATATTTCCACTAAGTAGGTATAATCTTTTGCCAATTTTTCAAATTTTCATTTTTTTTTTATTTTGGATTTCTGCAACGCTTCTAAATAGTTGTATTCCTTTCACACCTAGGAGGAGCTCCGGAACAGCTCCGGGGCTTCACGCGCTTATTCCTTTCGAAAAGTGTTTGTTGCACCACGCATCTGTTCCCTGCAAATCCGGGGCGACTAAACACCGGAGCGAGTAGCTCGAGTGTTTCAAACTCTTGAAAGGAATACAACTAATGATATTCATAAATATGTATGTAAAAAATAGGTAGGTAAGTAGGTAGTGAATTGAATTAGTAGAGAAATTTCTTCGATCCGAAAAAACTGATATAGGAGTTCAAAACAATTGGTTTTACAAAGATTTGATTGGCCTCGACTGTTTTTTGACGCCGCATATACAGTACTTTCTTTCTTTCTTCTACTGTAATTGAAATAAGACAAAAAATAGTTCATCGGTTCTCAATAGTTGTATTCCTTTCACACCTAGGAGGAGTTCCGGAACAGCTCCGGGGCTTCACGCGCTTATTCCTTTCGAAAAGTGTTTGTTGCACCACGCATTTGTTCCCTGCAAATCGGGGGCGACTGAACACCGGAATACAACTATTGATGACCTATGTTTGTCTTTGTCTATTTTTTGGTATTAGACAAAGAAAACCATTTACTCACTAGCGCGATTGTTTGTTTCGATTGTCGTTAGAACTTTGGCGATAAATAAATGAAATTTATTTTGAACTAGTTTGCCGGGTAATTTTTTTTTATGGCAAAGAATCCAAGGTCAGTGAAAAACTTGGAAGAGTGAAAAAGGCGATTCTTGTGATTATTTCTTGATTGCCTTTTGCGTGCATCGTACGTACAAGTTATAAGGAATTTTCACTGAATTATTTTTTATATTTTGTGATTTTCTTTTGTGAAATAATGGGTAAAGTGAAAGAAAATTACTATGTTCCTAAAAAAACCAATAGAGACCAGCATCTTCGGGAAAGTTTTTTTAGAAAAAAAATGTAAGTACCGATTTCCTTTTTTACTAGAAAGAAGAAACTAAATTCTAGAGCAGTAAAGTGTTTGAAAATTTTGGTTTCTATTTCCTACACTAATAAATTTATTCTACATCTACATTATTCATCATTACAGATTGGTCTTGCGAGAACATTCCTATGCCAGCAGGAATGCAGGTGGTGAAAGCTCTAGAGCCAGGTGTTCTTCAGTGTGTTCAAAGAGGTAAATTACAACTTCGATTTCTGGACGTACTCAGTTTGTAACTGTTTTTCTACGATGAAATTATATTGCTTTTTTCGGTTGCCCCCAATAAGCAGCTTTTGTAGGCGCAAGAGGCGAGCAAGCTGATAATAGGAAAAACATACATAACTATATATTGCAAAAAAGTTGTTTTTTTTTAAATTTTTGTAGGACCCAAGATCAAGAAAACACAAACACACTCTTATCTAATATGATATCACCAGTATCCCAAGACCAAGAGAACAACTGCGTTATTATGTAAGTGTCAACATTTATTCATGAGAAAAAAATACACACATTACAAGCAGGTTTCAAATTTTCTTTAGAGAATCACTGTGTTACGAAAATGAGCATGAGACCCCTATCATGGACGAAATAATTTCAACTGGCATCAGTGACCCCCTTGACATGTAAGCCTAATAAACTAGTACTTATCTTTTTAGATTTTTAATAAATATGATTCTAGCAACCTCGTGGAAGAAAATAATCAATCTACTTCTGGCGCTAACCCTCTACAATCTGAGCAAGACCCAGCAATGTCTATTTTGCCTGATGAACAGCTTCATGAGTTCTCATTTATAAGCCAAGAGGAATATAATGAGTAAGATAAAATATTCATAAAAAGTTAGGTACATCTTTTTATTTTTTTACACGTTTTCAGAGTCAATGAACACATTATAGAAGTTGAAAGAACACGACGACCAGACTCGACAGTTATCCAAGGGAACAGAATTGTTGATTTGGAGTATGTAACATAGATTTGTATGGAGCTTCAATTCAAACATAGTCAAAGATGTACTCTTGGACTATTGAAAGTGCACAGAGAAATTCGCAATGGACTTGTCAGCACCATTGTTTTTTGTTGTAATATGTGCAACTTTCAAACAAAATGTCGTACACAGAAAGGTAAATATTAGCTATACTGAAATATTATCCCTATATGTAATCTGTGCAATATAAAAGGTGCTGAAGAAATCCGGCTTCAATTAAATTATGCCTGTGTTTGGGCCACATTTAGTGGAGGTACTACATTTAAAACAATGACCGAATTTCTAAGTATCATGAACATACCACCATTGTCATATCGAATGTACCACAAATTGGAACTGAAACTTGCCAACGATTGGAAAAAAACCCTTTGGGACAGCATGGAAGAGGCTGGCAAGGAAGAATATGACAATGCTGTGGCCACCAATGCCCTAGATGTGGACGGAGTTCCGTGGATCACTGTGTATCTAGATGGCGGATGGAGCCACAGATCGTATGGTCATAATTATAATGCAGCTTCGGGGGTCGTGAGTATCAATCTAATGACTTTGTTTTTTCAATCTTTTGTATAATAATAATAATATCTGTATCAAAGACTATATCTTTATTTTGGTTCAACAAACTTATTTGTCCCATATCTTTTTTCAGGCTGTAATAATTGGAAAGCACACTGGCAAAATATTATTTCTTGGTGTCAGAAATAAATACTGCTGTGTTTGCGCAAAAGCAGAGAAAAAAGGTGAGGAACCCCATGAGCACCTTTGCTTCAAAAATTGGAATGGGTCATCCGGGGCTATGGAGGCAGACATTTTTAGTGAAGGATTTCGCGAGAGCATCAAGATGCATGGTTTAAAATATTTGCATTTCATTGCTGATGGGGACAGCAGTGTACAAAAATTCAGCAAACCGTTCCTTATGGAAATGAAGTGAGGAAAATAGCTTGCAAAAACCATATTATCAAAAACTATGGAACTGCGCTATACAAATTAAAAAACGATACCACCATTGCTGCTGCTGGTCGAAAATATTTGACGGTGAATGCCATAAAGGATCTTGAAAATATAGCTACAAAACCTATATAAATATATCAACGCACATGGAGATGTCGACAATTTAAAAACTGATTTGGAAAATGGGCCTTATCATGTTTTTGGAAATCACCTCACATGTAATCCTTTATATTGTCAATGTATTGGGGATTTCAGCAATAAAGTGGCAGAAATGGAGATTGCTGGCATTTTCAATCGGATAACAACCGTGCTTCAGCGAATTGTGGTAAGCCAGGGCCACAAATTGATTGATAATGAAACAAACAATCGAGCTGAGATGTTTATGTCCTTGCTTTGCAAATTTAACGCAGGCAAACGGTTGAATACCATCCAAAAAGGCTCCTTGCAAACAAGAGCCTATTTGTCTGGACTTCGGTACAATAAAGGTGCAGATTGGCAAAGCTCCACTTGGCTGGACTCGAGGCCAATGGTGCCAGGTACTGCCTTTCAATCGTTTGTGAGAAAATGCAAAAAGCGACGTGAATATGACAGTGCACGTAGAGCGCAGATTCCAGGAAATCCTAAAAAAAAACCTTCTAATAAGAAAGTTTCGAAAGAAGCAGCAGGATATGGGCCAAATGCCGCACAAGCTTCTCTCGCAGAGGAAGAGTTTCAGTCTGAGAAAAGTAGGCTTTTGAATAGACTGAAAGTATGTTTATCTCCAGGTGTATCTGTAATTATTATTCTGAGTAATTTTTGTTTTTAGGTACTGCCTAACGACATATCCATCGTAGAGCAACAAACCATTGGCCAGTGGGAAAATAGGCTTTACCAACTTCACCGAAAGGACCGCCTTACAGCATCCAATTTTGGTGAAGTCTGCCGAAGAAGGCAATCCACTGCTCCTGACAAGTCGGTTAAAAGGATTATAAATCCCACCAATATCAGAACTGTCGCCATGGACTAGGGCAAAGTCTAAGAAGCTGTGGCGCGGGAAAGATTTGCCAAGGAGAGGCAGGCTACAGTTCGGGAGTGTGGACTGTTTATTGATCCCACTTATAATTATCTTGCTGCAACCCCTGATAGTAAGTTGAAATAATGATACGTTGCTTTGTATGTGTATGCACATACATATTTATTTGACTAATACATAATTTTTCTTAGCACTGGTGAATTTGAATGGTATTATGGAGATTAAATGCTTACACAAGGTCCACAAATCTGGCAAAACTTTGGAAGAGGCAGTTTTAACAGATAGGACTTTGTGTGTGGAAAAGTATGTCTCAGAAACAGGAAGAGAACAACTGAGATTGAAAAGAAAACACCACTATTATTACCAAGTACGTTATCATTGCAATATAAGCTTTTTATTGGCCAATTTTTGAGTATGACTTTTTCAGGTCCAGGGATAACTCAACATCTGCAAAAAAGATATTTGCTTTTTTGTGGTTTATATAAATGATGAGCAACCCTTGTATGTTGATGCCATCCTACGGGATGAACAGTTTTGGAATGAGGAAATGTTACCAAAACTGACCAACTTTTACCAGGAACATATTATGATTCCAGAAATGGTGAAAAAGTACTCTTCCAAATAATATTAATCATTTATATATTATAAGGTAGAGAAATACCCTATTTCTAAATTAGGTATTTTCTAAATTACTATTTTTTTTTGTAGTTCCCTGTTGACTTTATTTTTTCTCCATTTGCCTAATTTATTTTACCAAAATCCTGTGCAAAGAACTCATTCCATTTAAACATGAGGTAAAAAAAATTAAATTGTGACTGACTGGAACATTTTATAGTGAAATTATACTTTCTTCCAGTTTCCCATTCAACTCATTTGCTTTATGAAAGCCATGTATTTTTCTCTTCCATGCAAGAAACCTATGGCATTTATATACGAGGTAAGAAATTACTTGAAATTGTAACGAACATTTTATAGTGAAATTAGTCTTTTTTCCAGTTGCCCATTCGACTCATTTATTTTATCAAAGCCATGTGTTTGTCTCTTCTAAGCAAGAAACTTATGGCATTTATATACGAGGTAAGAAATAACTTGAAATTGTAACTGGAACATTTTATACTGAAATTATACTCTCTTCCAGTTTCTCATTCAACTCATTTGTTTTATGAAAGCCATGTATTTTTCTCTTCCATGCAAGAAACCTATGGCATTTATATACGAGGTAAGAAATTACTTGAAATTGTAACTGGAACATTTTATAGTGAAATTAGTCTTTTTTCCAGTTGCCCATTCGACTCATTTATTTGGATATTAAACGGTAAGTCTACAGTCCGAAAGTTTTCACGAAAATGTTTATTATGTTTTAAAATCAAACCACCATCAATAACCCCAATTATGGGACATTTACCTTCAGCTCGAGTTAATCCTTCATCGCCATTCTCTTCTGCAGGTATAGATTTTGAGGGCCCTATTCTGGTGAAAGATGGTACCTTGAGATGCAGAAAATTAGTTAAAACATACATCTGTGTTTTCATTTGTCTTTGTACTAAAGCAATACATTTAGAACTGGTGGGCGATCTATCTACCCATTCCTTTCTCAACACGTTGAAAAGGTTCATATCAAGAAGAGGGATTTGCAATGACATATACTCTGATAATGGTTCAAATTTTCTCGGGGCAAAAAACTACATTTGTGAGGTCTATGACAAATTAAATACAATACAATCTGATTCAACAACCATAAAATTTTTGTTGGAAAATCGTGTGACATGGCATTTCATTCCTCCTCGCTCTCCAACTTTTGGTGGAATTTGAGAATCCGCTGTAAGAAGCATGAAGTATCATTTAGTTAGAGTAGTTGCTGAACATCATCTCACATATGAGAATCTATATACTATTCTTACCCAAATTGAATCCGTATTGAATTCCCGACCTTTGTGCCCACTATCCAACGATCCTAACGATTTTAATACCCTCACCCCTGGACATTTCCTGATTGGACGACAATTGAATGCACTGCCTGAAGAAAATATTGAGCACATTCCGACAAATAGACTTTCAAAATACCAGGAAATCCAAAAAATATTACAAAATTTTTGGAAGCGTTGGTCGAACGAGTATCTGCACAATTTACAACAACGAAATAAGTGGATGATTGATGATTCGCAAGTCGTCAAACCTGGATTATTTGTTCTTATTCGCGATGATAATGTATCACCAATGCTCTGGAAAACTGGAAGAATATGTGAAGTATTTCCTGGTAGTGATAACATCACACGCGTAGTATCGGTGAAAACTCATTCTGGAAAATTGAAACGAGCTGTAAACAGGCTATGTGTTCTGCCTATAGAACAATAGCAAGTGTTTTCTTTATGTACATATGTGTCGTTTAAAACTTAGACATTTCAAGACGGCCGGTATGTTATGTCGTTCTATTTGTAAATAAATCATAATCTAGTTAAAACAAACTGTAAAGGGTCGTTTTCACGGTGATAGTTTTTGCGATAGTTGCTGTCGTGATAGTAACTATCGCACAAACTATCACCATGTAAACAACCCGATAGTAGCTATCATGCTGTCGCGACAGTGCTGTCGCACTATCTCGCTTGACTAGATAGTTGGGAATACTTTCGTGAAAGTAGTGATTTTTTATAGCGGCACGATGGCGAAAAATCAAAATATCGGAAATTATTTTGATAAAATTAAGCAGGGATTTGACGTTATACATTTTCTGGAAGAATATGAGAGGTTTCCATGTTTATGGGAGAAAAGCTCGGCAGATTTCAAAAACAGAGTGAAGAGGGATCATGCAGAAGAAACTCTGCTGCCCTTATCAGGACTTTCTACAATTAAAGAACTTAGGCAGAAAATTAGGAGCATTAGATGTACATATAATCAAGAAGTGGCAAAAATAAAGAAGTCTATGGGAACTGGAACGGGTGCTAATTACGTATATAAACCAAAACTTATATGGTTCTCCGTAGCTGATAGTTTTCTAAGGCACAATTTGGAAGAAAATGACTCAGAATCTAATTTGGTAAGTTTTATTTAATGTTTCGCAATTATTTACATCCTAAATTATATAAATATTGAAAGAAGTGTAGTCAAATTATTTATTTCGGTGTCTTCTCTCGATTGTTATTCTATCATTTTGTACTGCCAATCGAGTGCTCCTGTCCCTGTAAAATATTCAGCAAAGTCTTCTCTTCTTTGTCGAGCTTCTGGCAAATAGTTACGCTGCAAAGCTGCTCTTACATCAACGACACCATTTGGTCTAGGATCATTGCGCCAAGATCCAGGAATTATTCG